GAGCATTATCTACAAAACACTATAGATAATTCTACTCAACGGGGCTGGTCTTGGGGTAGGGCGGACCGGGCGACCGCTCAGAACTCTCGATCAATTTCTTCTCCTTGTTTTGTTCACTTGTATGTTCTACTTGGCGTGTAATTTCATCTGGACAATTTCAATTGTTTGAGTGGTAGTCAAGCACTGTTTGCAACTTTTTGGTTGTTCAGATCAGATACTGCATCTGCAACCAAATTAATCCATTATTAGATCATAAAAATGACAAAAATGTGCAAATTAACCAATTTTAAAAAATTATTCATGTCGATATCGAAATTTAAATATTTTATTAATATATGTTTTTATTTATTTTTGTTCATAAATCTAAAATACATAAGATATATAACTAATAAAGTAATTAATTTTTGTCCACCAAGTCAAATATAAAGATAAGAAAAAATAATTAATACAATAATTATTTTATCTTAGGATAAAAAAATATAATTAATAAAATAATTATTTTTTGCTCACCAAATCAAATATTAGTATAAAAAAAATTATATGAAATCATTAAGGACCAATAAAATAGATGTATTATTCTTTTGCTCTGTTTCCTACAACTATAAATAAGAGCTCACTCAAAGCAAACAATGACACCTCATAAATCAAAGTCTCAAGTTCAAAGCTCTCAAAATCGTTTGAATATTTGAAAACGTTCTTGAAGACCTAAGGGTATTCAACTTGAAGATTTGAAAACGTTCTTGAATATCCAAGGACGACGTTCGATCCGAAATCAAGCCTTCTAGCTTCTAAAGTATGTTCAATGGAAAAGAAAGCCAACAAGAAGAAAAATCGAAATCAAGCCTTCGGAGTTGAAGATTTGAAAACGTTCATGAAGATCCAAGGATATTCATGTTGAAGATCGGTGTTCAATCCGAAATCAAGCTTCTTAGCCTCCAAAGTATGCTCAATTGTGAACATAGTTAAGAAAGAAAAGTCGAAATCAAGTCTTCTAGCCTCCGAAGTACTCTCAATGGAGAGAAGAATGCCAAGAAGAAGAAAAAGAGGTAGCGGTTCTTCTCCAATAAATAAAGAGGCGACATCCACACGTTCGCCGAGAAGTTCAACCAACATAGCATTTGATCCGAGAAAAAGCTATCAGACCTAGAGTCAACGTTATTCAACTCAAAATCTCCATTCTAGGAAGTCGAAGAATCAAGTCCTCATAAAAGTCGTCTCCAATCAAATCATGTCCAAATCGTTTAATTCGGGATCAAGTCGTTCGACCTCCAAATAAAGTTAGACTAATTCAAGCTCAAGCATGAAGATGCAATCGTCAAATTCAGCTTCGAAGATCCCAATCCAAATCCAAAAAGAAAAAAATTTGGGAAGACAAAAAGATTGTAACGTAAAATCGTTTGATCGAAATAAATCTAAGTTGTACAAAAGTTTTATTTTTTTCGTAAAATTCATTGTTACTTCTTAGAGAGCATATGTGTCAAATTATCATGAGTGCAGTAATTAAATAAAAAAAAAAAAAAAAGTAGAAATGCTGGGTCTAACCTTTGAAAGATTCAGACGAAAGTCTCCACTCCAGCTGTTGCGGAGCTCTCGGATTTGGAAAGTATGCTTTCGTTGACTTGATAATGCATCCATTCCTTTCAGTCAACGGCTATTATTACATCTTATAGCAGTGCCATTTACTCATGAGTCATAATCTTCACACTTCAGAGTTCAGACCACAGTGTTCACACTGTTAACAGAGAGAACACTAATTTAAGGTAACCCTGCTTTGTAGATTCTTAATTTCGATGCTTATTTGCTGTTATACCTGGTCTATCACTTTATTTAATTGAAATTCTAAATCTCGCCATCTGTTATCATCATTATTATTATCATCATTATTTAGCACTTTCCTTCTTGATATATTTTGGTGATTCAAGGTTGTGAAGACAGAGCCATGGCTGCACATGATTTATACACCAAAGATGGGACAGTGGATTACCTTAAAAACCCTGCAAACAAGAGCCAAACTGGGACATGGAGAGCCTGCCCTTTCATATTAGGTGCCTGAAAATTTTCAATAATCATCCGCAGACTTTTATATTTGTAAAAAGTTTAAGAAATAATAGTAAGTTTTTTTATATATTCATGTTCTTGATGTACTCTTCTTGGTTCACTAGTACATGGGTTATTGATTTAAGACGCTTGCTTACTCGAGATATAAGTGGAATTACTAAAATACCCTATATACATATATATATTATAATTGTGTAGCATAAGTGCTTAATGGTAATTTTATTTTTTCACTTAAAAATTTTCGAGTCGAGCTTGAGCATTTTGATTTCGAGTCGAGCTAGAGTCGATCTCGAGCGATTGTACTTTTTTATCGAGTCGAGTTCGAGCCACATGAATCAAGCTCGACAAGCTCAAGCAGCTAAAAAAAAATGAATCATGCTCGATAATACCAATGCTCGACTCAGCTCGCCTCGTTACAGAGCTAACTGGTACAGAGGGTTAATGAATAACACAAAATACATTATATATATATAAAACAATGATAAAGCTTGTTTAAGGAAATGTAATATTTTATCATCATCTCAAAGAACACTTCTGTTAAAGAAAAATGTTATCATATTAATATTTTTAGATAACGTTTAATATAAAAAAGTATTATGTAAAATGTACTTCACACAACGCTTTTTGTCGCCTTTGTTATACTATTGAATTCTTGTCTAACGCATGATGAGCACCATCTAAATAGATCGGATTTTAAATAACACTGATCTCGAATAAAGCTTAAAAGCATTATGTTAGTGAAAAAATGGGTCTATGTAAAGCCATTTTTGGCATAGTGAACAGTAAACGAATGCTGTGAACGATTGGCGTACTATGGGATGAGCTCGAGTCTGGTGGTTTATTTCAAGGAGCGTCTCCACCAACACAGCGCAACCGCTTCAAACAACGTCGCTAACTGGTCGGGGACGTGTTACATCACGCCCCTCATTGGGGCCTTTTTGGCCGATGCCTATCTCGGGAGATATTGGACGATAGCATGCTTCTCAATCATTTACGTTATTGTAAGCTTTTTTTTTACTCCCTCCTATTCATAATAAGTGTCGTTTTGGGAAGTTGCACACTAATTAAGAATAATTTTTTTGTCAATAATAACCCTCATTAATGAAGATAAAAGTGGATGTTTTTAAAAAAAAGATGAAGAGAATATGAAAAGACGTAGTGTATTTATTAACTAAATGAGGGTAATAATGGAAAAATATGTACAAAAGATCCAAAACGACATTTATTTTGGTTAATAGTTGATAAAGCAAAATGACATTTAAAAAGAATAGAAGGTAGTAACTTCTTTCTCTTTTTCAGTTTGAATTTCTTCATATGAAATGATCCAATTAGTTTGAAAAATAAAATTATTGTATTATAACCCAACCCAATAAACCAACATACTAACCTTCAAAATAATTCACTTATCTATTATGTCCAAAGACTACAAACACAATTATAATAAAATATTATATATTGTTGGTCCACCCTTTCCACTAGAGGCACCAATCAAATCCAGAACAATGAATTTAGAAGACCAAAAAAAAAAAACTATTTAACAAAAAAAGGATTACTTTCCAGAAGACGATTTAATTTCTTCTTTAAAAGTAAATTATATTTTTAAACCATGTAATAAATATTTGTTTCATTTGTGTAATTATCTTTATCTATCTTCTCATTTTAATTGAGCTGTTTAAAATTTTAATAGTAATTGTTAAAATCATGTGGTTGCAATTCATGTTTTGTTGATTGTGTATAGTAAGTGTGTGTTTGCCTATTTTCTTAATATGTTATCCTCTAGTGCGATTGTTGTATATCATAGTTGGATATACATTTATGATATGTAGGCATTTCATTTTGCTAATATCTTTGTCCTATGAAAAATCTATTTATTTTTATTGTGGAATTTTTAGAAATTCACATGAATCTTCAACCTTCGGCCAAGAAACGAAAAACTCCATTGATCTTATCGTTTTTTAGAAAACGGGATTGACGTCAAACTAGTGAAAATAAATAAAATATGGTGCAAAATGAGCATTATGAATTTTTTCCGTAAAAGCTCGTCGAGCACATTTTCAGTAAATATTTGAAGAAAAAATAATATGTGATTTTTATGAAAATGAGTTTTAAAATTCTAACTCAGTCTACTCTTAATTTTTGGATCCGTCCCTGTTAACAATACGCTAGTTCCATCGTTTTGTTATGTGTTTATTTCCACAGTTGGGTGATAGTTTTCAACATTCAACACTAAATTAGTAAAAATATTTTTAGAGATATCATAATATTTGAATTTACTACCCATATTTTAATAGAATCCTACAAATTTGAATTTGCATCAAAGTATTTGTATAAATCATTGTATAGATATTTTAAGAGATCATAATATTTGAATTTATTACCTACATTATAATAGAAATTGTTTTTGTTTTCTTTAAAATATTTGCCTCCAAATATTTGTATAAATATTTGAAAACATGTCTAATATATTACAAATTTTTTAAAAGCATTTTCACCAGTTGGATTTTTGTAACATTTTAATATTGGAAAATGGTAAATATTATTTAAAATGCTTCACAAAAATATACAGAAATCTATGAGGCCATCAGATGCTTTTTTTATGGAGTCATCCATCATTTAATGTATCGACACATATTCTAAGTGTATTTATTGTAAGACATGCGTCAATACACTATTTGTGAATAAATGTGGATTACTCCATAAGTAGTGTCATCCGATAACTTCATAGCAAAACTACAAAAATATACAAATAATAAGACTATATCTTTGTTTTTTTTATTTATAGGTAGATTGTAAAAATAATATATGTAAAATTTTCGTAAATTGAACGGTTGGAGCAATTTTTGGAGTTTATCCAGACTAATAAATGTAACACATTTAAAAATTTTCAACTAACACAACAAAAGACAAAGGAAACACTCATTAATTCCAGTCTCACACAGGGAATGACACTACTCACACTATCGGCTTCAATTCCTGGCCTCAAACCCTCCAGCCAAGGGCCAACCACCACCCAATCCGCCACCTGTTTCGTATCCGTCTACCTGATTGCTGTTGGGACGGGCGGCATCAAGCCGTGCGTCTCATCCTTCGGAGCCGACCAGTTTGACGACACGGAGGAAGTTGCAAAAAGGCACAAGGCCTCCTTCTTCAACTGGTTCTACCTGTGTATCAACGTGGGGGCCCTTGTGGCCGCCTCAGTCCTTACGTGGATCCAAACCAATGTGGGCTGGCACTGGGGCTTTGGGATCCCGGCAGCCTCCATGGTCGTGGCAGTTGCATTTTTCTTCTCCGGAACAAGGTTGTACAGAAATCAAAGGCCCGAGGGAAGCCCACTCGTGCGCTTGTGCCAGGTGCTGGTGGCGTCGTGCAGGAAGTGTTGGGTACGTGTTCCCGATGATGCGTCGCTTCTGTACGAGACGTTGGATGCAGAGTCTACTGTCAGGGGGAGCCGCAAGCTCAGACATATCAAAGATCTCAGGTATATGTTTGTGTAGAAATATATGGCCTACTTAATTAATGCACTTTTGTCATACCCCCACAATAAATAATAGCGTGTAAAGAAAAATAATTCACAAATGTCATTAATCCATTAGGGATGATT